GTATATCGTCTAGTATAGTGTGGTCTAGTATAGCAGAGTATACTGTCTTGAAAGGCATTGCACCCATAGCTGCAGCCAGAGCGAGCTCGGAAGGGAACTGTTTCCCCATGTGGGAGTTTCCGAAACTTAGGGGTACCTTATTTGGGGATCCTTATAATAAAGATCCTACTAGTTAGGGTACTACATTAAATTATAGGGTCCCCTATTTTTGGAAACTCCCATGTGGCCCTGGGAGCTTCTGAGCGCTTGAGGAAGCGGCCCAACAGAAGATCCGCAACAAGCCGCCGCCTCGGGGTTTGGGGTTTAGGCCCAGCTTCTTTCAGGTTTACTGGAGGGCTTTGTGTATTTTGTGGAAGCGCCGTATAGTAAACCCTAAACCAAAAAGCTTCCCGAAGGCGTTCACAAAGAGCTCCCGACTACCCTGTGTCTCCAAGCGCCGAGGTTGGATCAGAAGGCGAAGGAGCTGAAGGTTGCAGAGAAAGCAGCCCCATGTCAGAAGAGAACAAGAGGTGAGCTATACATCATGCTACTCAAAGCAGCTCTTGTGGTCCTTTTCACAGCAACAGTTTGCATGCCTGGGCTGCAGACATTTCTTTCCAAGCTTGCCACCTCTGAGGCTGTCGCTCCAAAGGACTTGTTCCAGAACGGTGCTAACAAAGGTCGCTGTGCTTCTCCCATGCTTTGGATCATGTGTGAAGTGTTGGTTCTGTCCGCTCCCTGCACTATGAGATGTGCCCTGCAACCTCCTAACATAAAGGCAATGAGCATTCATCATGTTTCCCGCACAGGCGTTTATGCCGACTTTGATGCCGAGGGTGTTCCCACCAAGCTCGCGAACGGCGAGGCCACTGCTTGTCTATCTGATTCTGTTTCTAAATTTTGCGGTTTGGGGCTAGAATATCAGCCTTTGTAGAGTTTAAGTACATGGCTGTAAGCTGTGACCCGGATGTTCGAGCAGGCCATTGGCCGTTGTCCCCGGATTAGAAGCGAGTAATATAGGGGCCTTAATGATTTGAATAGCTAGGGTTTTGGTGCCCATTATCCTAAAACTATAATGAGGAACCCCCTAAGATGACATAGATATTATATTAAGACCCCTATTGTATCTGTGCGGGAAGTGGTAGTGGTGTGGGCAATGCCAGTGGCGAGGTGGTCCTTCGTAGATCTGTCAGGGATGTCAAGCCCAAGTTTTGTTATGTCAAGGTCTTGCACGAGACGAGCAAATCGGAACAGAGCGAATGCATATCCGCGAATAAAGAAGACAGGTCTGCACATTTGATGGGCCTGCATTGGCATCCAAGCCGCCTTGGACTCAACCTCCCTGCATGAAGTGTCGTAGATCAGGCGCTCTTTAATCTGGCGCTTCGGGGCACTATGGACCCCATCTAGCCCCAGAGGTACCCATATATAACTCCGGAGATGATTAGCTTCTCTAGTTCCCCTTAAAGAAAACTGCACAAGTATGTTTTCCACCAGAAGCTGCGGCCTACACATTACGTAAGCACTACACTCTAAACGTCTAAACAGTAAAAGCTACCTAAACCCTAAACCCTCGGAATGTGAGCGCCGAAACCTTAAGACGAAATAGGAGCTCAGCGCGAAGAAGAGGAAAGACTTGGCCAAGGCATTTGCTGGCCGCTGGTTTTACGTAGGGTGCAGGCTTTGAGGTTTACAAGGAAGTTTACAAGGCTTTCGAGTTAAGGCTATAGGGTTTGGGTTTGGGCTTTGACGTTTCGGGTCTATAGGGTTTGGGAATCTTGAATGTCCGTATTTGCGTGTTTACGTCCTCTCCCGGTGCCTTATTGTCGCCAAAGCCCGCGGGGCCAATTAAAAGATTGTTTGTTTCGGGTCGATGGGGCTTCTAGATTACAGGTAGCTAACCGTGGAACCTCGAACTCTTCAGCAGCCAGAATCGCTTGGCTTGAGAGAACTTTGACCAGGAGCTGGCCAAGCAGCAGAAAGATTTTGAAAAGCTGCAGAAGCAAGCAGGGGATGCAGGCGTTGACACTTGGCGTTGCTTACGAAACACCATCCTGATCCTGCAGTAACATGCTTTTCGGTTTCTTGGTAGCGTACACATATCTGATGACGTGACCGGCTGAAGAACCATGGCTGCACCGGTGACACTTTCTGTTTGCTCGGATAGTCTGGGGTGTTTGTCTCCAGGCCCGTCCTCCATCGGGATTCGCGCATCATCCCTGTGCACATGAGCACTGGCCGTTTCTAGTGAAGGAGTAGATGTTATGGACAGCAAGTCCTTCATGCCGAACATGACCCAGCATGTCCTGATGACCTCTGTGGGCCAAGGACGCCTATCTTGCAAAGATGAGATCTGAGGTGGCCGAAATGGAGAGACAACTTCAGTAAGATCTGTGCCGGTCCCAACTACACCCCGAAGCCTCAGAAACCCTTAACATAGGAGCCTAAACGACTACCAGTACTATTTTGGGAGGTTCCCTATAATGGATACTCGTATAGTATAATGGGCCCCAAACCCTATTCTAATTATTCAAGCTCCTATATGACATGAACACATCAGACCCGCGTCATGCAAAGTTACTCCAGCAATCGGCCTCAGCGAGAGGTGGCTGTCTTGTGGAGCTGGTACTGTGCACGCGCATGAAGTCCTTGCTGAAACTTCTTCTCGTGTTGAGAGCTGCGGCAGTTCAACCTTCATCCGAAACCCTAAACCCAAAACCTAAAACATAGCCTGGCTCACGAACCTCGACCGAAGTGGCATCCGGCAAGCTATTTTAGCTTAGGCTTGTGTTGCAGAGATGTTGTTCGGGCCAGTCACGAACATGGAATCACTTTCCTCCAATCGCCTTCACCGAAATAGCAGCAAATTTGGTCGGGTCTCTAAACGGCCTCAAAGCGCAGCGCCTTCACCTGAGGAGCCTAAATGAAATTTCACGGCTCAGCAATGCAAACTTAACGAGCTTTGAGATCGAAATTGCTCATGCGGGTGTGCCTTGCCTTCTCTCCCGTAGTGCTGTCGCCAGAAAACCAACTTGTACAGTAGTACAGCCATCTGCCGCCAGCAAAAAGGCATCACAGAGAGACGATGATGTGCAAATCTGGCCTTTGGCTCCTACCTTAATTGCAGGTAACTTTGCTTCAAAAACAAGGGCAGGGTCTGCCTTTAGCGCAGCGGGTGTGTCTCAGACATAGTTCCATCTGTCCGCCTGAAATGACCAGTAAGGCACCGAGAAGCATCGCGACTTTGTTCCGGGCTCAGCTCCTTGCTGTCTTGCTCTTGGCGAATCGTCCTCCTTCTTCCCGTCCGACCCCAGAGATTCCTTCACGCCTTCAGAGGGTCACGCTCTGCTCCTGCAGACGACCCTTCGGGGAGCCCCCAACTTCCCAGACCTTTCAATATCCCTTAACTAAGGAATATACACAATATGCTTCGAAACATCATTTGATACCGAATATGGTAGATTCCTTAACTAATGGATGTTGGAAGGTGTGAGTTCCCAGATTGCCAAGGCTTGAATGCGCTCGGACTTGGCGATCCAGGTGCCAACGGCGGTGGTTGCTGACCTCTTCGAAGTTGCTTCTGTGGTATATTATAGTAAAGTCATAACAAGGGGCCCTCCCAAATATTATAGGATTGTTTAGTTTACAAAATCCAGCTTCGAAGAAGTCAGGTGCAAGACGGGAGCAGCTCTTAATTGGAAGTCTGTGTTGCAACGTGGGAGTTTCAGAAAATTAGAAGTACCTGGTTTCGGGGTCCCATTTTTCTCGGGTCCTACTATTTATTGTATCGTATTAGGGTCCCCTATTTTCGGAAACCCCCATATGGGTTTGGTGCCGAGCCGCTCTTGCAATCGAGTTGTGCTTTAGATGTTTCTCTCCTAGGTGTCATAGATCAGCGTACTTTGAGCGAGGCTTTGGGGTGCCGGCTTCAATATGGCACAGGGGGATGAAGTTTTAGCGAGGTGTATGAGCCTCAGGGATACAACTTTGGTCTTTAGTGGCTCTTACCTGTGGCCGGGCGCGATTATCTTAAAGTTCCGCTTGGACTCACAAGCTGCCAGTCATGCATACTTCCGCTCGCACTGCTTCGGACGATTGTTTTCGCTGGTGTAGCCGCAACATTTCGTGCGTCTAAGTCTAGTGCTTATCAAGCATGGAACCGGGGATGATGATGCCCAGTTCCATGCTTGGAAGTGCCGTTGCTTGTCCGAGCATCACGGCTGGTATCAGAATGCTAAGTATGACTAGCAGTCAGCAGTAGATGTAGTGGGGGCAGCCACTGGCTGGACACCGCCACTAGTCTGACAAACTCGCCACATTGCCGTCCCTTGTCAACATCCACGATGCTGCCCACCACAACAACGACGACTGCTTCCGATGACGATGCTAGTGCTCGTGCCACTGCCACCGGAGAGTGGATGATCGTTCTAGACTGCTGCACCTTGCCCCTACATCCGACCTCGTTGACTGCGAAGCCAAATCATCAACCATGAACGGCAAATCTATAGCATGGGAGGATCGTCTTAGCCTTTACGGCCCGTGTTGTCAGAATGGCGTACTTGTTGATGAACCCCTAAAGAGACCTTAGTTTAACGCACTACCCAAGTTTTAGCTCCCAAGCCCCAATCCCGAACCGAGCGGAAACCAAGGCTCGAGTACACTACATATAGCTTTAAACCAAAAGCCTGCAGCCCCCGGCAACAGAAGCCCCACAACCCAAGGCCCCTAAACCGGAAATCTTCCTGACCCGTCCTGAAGCCTCAGAACTTGTCAAGGCCCTTATGCATGCCTTGTACATCATTTCTATACATGTATTACACAACGAGCAGCTCGCCCAGCTGCGAGCCCCGAACTAAACCTTAAACCCCACAACAGCCCATACCCCCTGAGCCCTTACAAGCCCTTCTCATCCGGTCTCAATCCCGGTTCATCATCCGCGAGCCTTAAACCCTAAACCCTAAACCCCGAGCCCTAAGCCTTAAAGCAGACCAGCAGTCCAATGGTTGCCGATGCCTTGAGCCATGGACCGCGGCGCCGCTTTGGCTCTGATCCAGGCAGATGGCCTCAAGCTTAGAGCCTCGCCTTTTTGTTCATGCAGCTCATGCTTGCGATCTGGAATTTGAGGCTGTGGGTTGGCTCAAACAAAATGGGGCTTTGTGGGTTTCATACGGGATTGAAATTGTGTTTTGTGGTTGGGGCTGAGGCATCTGAGGTTGTGTGCCGGCCATTCAGGGCTTCGCAGTCGGGCTTTCAGACTCGACTTTTGGCGCTTCGGGCATTGAGGGACTCGGGTTTGGGTTGAACGAATCAGGCCCGTCTTGCTCACAGTCTTGCTGGCTTCCTGCTTGGTTTACGTCTTTCCTAAACGAAGCATAAACGACGATGCCTGATTATAAGAAAATCATTGGCTCACAGATCTCACAGGGTGTTTATGCAATGTTCAGATATAGCCACTCCTCAACCAAGGCCTGTTTGAGGGATGCTTAACAGGACACTTTAAAGTTTGATTTAATGTTCCTTCAGGAAGGGCTTGGGGTATTCTTGGTTGACAGTAATGTTCAACTGTATCCACCTATTTAACCAGCATTTGAGCCCTCAAACCAAGCTTGGATTCTCAAGCCATGCGCAGTAATGTTCATCTGTATCCACCTATTTAACCAGCACTTGAGCCCTCAAACCAAGCTTGGATTCTCAAGCCATGCAAATTGGTATACTCGTAAGTTGCTCTGGTTGAACGGCACAACTGGCTGAATAAGAGGTCCTTCTGAGACATGGTAGAAAGAATCTGCCCTCTGCAGCCCCAGCCGGCAGGGTTTGGATGTCGGGAACATGCACTTTATCAAAGTCACAGCAAGACAGCAACAAGTGAACAAGCATAGTCTGGATGGCAGCCCAGGATCCCTCAGCAATGAGTTGCGCAACGACAAGGACTGGGCTGTTGGGGCAGCGCAGAACTATGGGCAGTCGGAGAAGCGCCAGTGGCAGTTTCAGCGCATGGTGTGCATCTTCCTAGCTCATTCAGAAGGGTTTGATTCGGTTTGGGGTTTGGGGTTTTGATGCTGTGACACGCAAGACCATGAAAGTTTGCCAGGGCTCCTGAACTGGGTCGAACCCTACCAGACATCTGGGCAAGCGCAAGCGACAGGGCAAACCTGCTGCATGGCAGAGAGGTTGCCCAATCGGGTTTGTGCCGGAGTACAAGGCAGTGACGTCCGGAAATGACTACCGGCTTCAAGATGCCTGACCTAGTACAACAGCAAAGTTTCTGCAGACAACCCTCAGAAGCCCTTACAGCCACATCCGCGGCTTGGTGCTCCAGGAATCTCGCGCCCGGCTCTTCCACCCCCAACTCTTTTGACCCCCATGTCCTGAACCAGGAGCTTGTGTTGCAAGCGGTGTCGAACTCCGGCTCTGCTTTGCGCTACGATACTCGTCGCATGAAATGGTCCCGAAGCCAATAAAGCCGAGGGCCTATAGGGTTTAAGCCTTTGGGCTCATCATAGCATGACTCGTTGTTTGATGAAGTCGGGAAGTGCCTGAGGTTCTGCAGTAAAGAAGGACCGAATGTACAGCAATCAGGGGCGTTAACTTGTTTTTAGATGGTGCTACAAGACGCCCAGCTTGCTAGCCAGCCGCAGCTGGAACAATCACTAGCATTACTCTCTTCATGATAACGATAGTTTACGCATATACCCCATGCAAACCCTATGCTAATTAATCAAGGCCCCCGGCAGCAGTCACTGCTTGTCTGGCTCTTGTGCAGAGCTCTTGCCTTGTCAAGGCAATCTCCGACAGAAGAGTTTCAGGTTTATGGCTGTACGGTTTAGGAGCTGTAGGGCTTGGGCATTTTAGCGCGTAGGGCGTAGGGTTCAGCGCAGGATCATGGGGTTTAGGGTCGTTGGTGAAGTTGTCGTCCTTGTTTCGGAGTCCCCAACTTAACAATTCTCCCTCATCATAAGCCCCCCATTTCAGGAAACCGCCAGTATATTCATCCCTCAAAGGATTGAAAAACCTAAACCTAAAAGCCGAAACTCAAGCGAAAACCTGCGTCTGGCATGTCCGAGAGTGAGAGCGCAAACCTGACATGTTAAAGCCCTATACTCAGCCCCCGGAGTAGAATAGATCACCATAGAATAATTGCATATCTCCATGCGAAAAAATCAAGACCCTACTCTAATCAGAAAGGCCCCCATATCAAACAAAGCCTACGAGACCAACTATTTAAAGGCTTATTATAAACACCGAACAAAGGTTGCTCTTATGTAGACCCCCAACCCCGACATTAATTCCCCTTGGCCGCAGCCTGAAGGCCTCCGAGGTGCTCCGCGGGGACATTGAGGCAGGTTCGAGAGTCATGGCATACCTGCATGACAGGATCATAACAGGAGTTTAGAGTTGAGGGTTTCGGCTTTAAGGAAACACGGGGGTTCTATGTTGTGCTAGTAAAACAGGAGTTCAGGGTATTTTCATTGCTGCGTTCCCGGGTCATGTCGGTGTTGAAGCGTCCAAGGGTACAGGGACTCGGCGGTTTTGCTTCAGCACAGTACCACATACTTTCAAGAAGCCAGTTTAAGACTAGGAACTATCCTGACTTAACAGTCTGACCGACTCTGAAATCCTCAGCCTTTTGACCTTAAGCCCGAAGCTTATCAAAGAGTCCGGAAGGGAAGGACGGGTAGGGACGTCTGGTCTCCTAGGATGGAGTTTGGGAAAATTGAGACAAGGCTATGGCGCGTACGGTGTTTCTTTGGCTTGTTCTGCTTTCTGTTTCGACCATGAAAAACAGAACACAACATCAGATTTAGAGGTCTAATGACAAGTTCGCACTGGTTCGGTGTTCCCAGAACTATAAGAAGATCCATGTTATATTATATTATAAGGTGATTAGGTTTTATAGGAATTATTATTCGTGTCAGTACTACCATTGTTATATATTGCACCAAGAGGATCAAGGTCGGGAACCCCAGTGAGAACCCATGGGTTGATTATCAAGCTCCTCGACAGAAACCCCTTTATCGCAACGCTTTTTGTCATACCAACCCTTTGTATTGCAGGCCGTTTAGAAAATGCTCGTCGTAAGCCTCAGTCATCCGAAGTCGTCGGAGATCCTCCGGGCAGGTCGTCACTGCTGCAGTTACACAGCACTGGATGGCATTGCAGTGCCACGGCTTGCCTTGGGTACCGTAGCTAACCTGGAGTTTCAGACAGAGTAGGCCCCTTAAGAGATGTACCCTTGCACGCCGCTTAGGGAGTTGTGGAGGCTTTAGTCAGTTTCGACGGTTAGGATCCTGGGCCAGGTTCGCAACCTGCTGTGTCAGCTCTTGAACTCATCCCTTGGTACCACACCGGAAAAAAATTCTAATTGTAATTAGAACAGTTAACAGAAAGGCGTACTCGGGTACGTATCCGGACTCGCGGTTTGTCAGTACTATCTAGAAGGCAACCGCAAAAGACAGCTTCAATGGAACTCATTTAGTAGCAGTGGCAGGAGCAGGAGCCGTAGCAGCAGCAGGAGCAGTAGCAGCAGTAGTCAGTAGTCGTAGTGGCAGCCTGCTACGTATGACGACTTGCGCATGCGACGGTGGCTCGAGGTATGCATCAGAGAACCTCAAAGATGAGTTCGACATCGTCCAGTTTCTTCCCTGAGAACATGTGTTTAACGCCTCTGGGTTCTGTGGAGTACCTGTAATAATTGCATGAGAGCCAGATGGTGTATGGCGATCATGTTCCGAATCGCATAAACTAGCGAGTTGTTGCAGTGTAGTTTCTGCAGTGGCTGTGCAGACGAAGCCTTACAAGCACAACTTCGGCACCCGGCATACACACTGCAATCCTACACTCCAGGCCAAGCAGGCTACTGTACAATGTGTGCCGTGACGAGAGCAACCATCATATAATGGCAATTTGTGTGAGATCGGGACTGGCATTCGTTGGGGAGTAGGGTGGGTGCGTTTGCGCGCAAGTGCCCAGGAAGCGTTTCGTGGTTTCTGCAGGCCCTGGGCTTGGTTTAAGTGTGAGATTAGAAAATCCGAACACAAGAGGTTCGCGGCCTATGGGGAGATTCGGATCTCAGGATAGCCGTCAAAGGCAACGGCCTGGCGTTGCGCGAAGCAGGACACACCGGTTCAAGCCATGCATGACTGCTGCATAGCGAAGAACCCCCAAATTTAATCTAAGCAGCGTTTGTCTAGGCTTCGGAATGGTTCTGACGAGCGGTGCCCGGCAAGAGAGGTGCTTAGCATTGTTGCCAAAGTGTCCGAAGACCATGCTCCAAAACAACTTGCCCGATCAGCCTCTGCAGCAAAATTTCCCCGTCGATCTTGCTTTGGACGACTATGAAAATTCTGCGCAGCTTACGATATGTTCTGAGGATGGTTTCTTGGACAAAAAAGTTGCCAAGACGATTCTTCCGAGCATAATTGTCGGAGGCATTGGGCAGGTTTAATCAGACCATGAACGAACCAGGCGATACAAGAAAGGTTGATTTAGGGTGATTCCGAGGATGAGTTCAACCAGGTGGGTTTGAGCACATTCCCTGAACTCTTGAGTTTGCATGTTTCAGCACCAGATGTTTGGCAGTGTGCCAAAACGGAGATGACGGCACATCTAGTGAACCTATAGCTACTGCTAACTCTGCCGCCCTGCAAGCCGAAGCCAGCAAGAAAGGATCTGGCTGGCTTGAATCATACAGGGCACTCAATAAACTCCTATACTATTTTGAAGGGTTCCTTCCAATCAGTATACTAAAACGGGCCTCAAACCCTGTTCTAATTATCGAGGCCCCTATATTTGAATACAAGATGGCGATCTGTGGCCCGAGTGGCAGTGCTCTTCACGCGTCTTCAGTGCCACATTTTGTGCCCCTCCGTCATGTCTTCTACTGTGACCCTCAATCCGCCTGTACAAACCCTCAAACCTCAAACCCGACAGCCTAGCTTAACTAACAGTGCTGGGAGGTAGAAACTGTAGCAGCTGCAAAGCCTTTGTCTTAGAACCCAGAGCTCCTTGAACCCTACCCTAAGGGTCCAGAGGACACAGTAATTAGGTAGTAGGTTACTATTTTTCCAGAGTATATGATAATTGTGTACTTGGACCCTTAAGGCTAAACCCTACCCCGGAACTCCAAACCATCATAGGGATCCTTAGGGGTGTAGGGGGGAGGGGTGTAGGGGACTATATTTCCTTAAATAGGCCTTGTTAGTCCTTATTATGGGCCTTAAGGCCCCCTACCCCCCCTACACCCCTAAGGATCCCTATGAAACCATGTAGTCTCCAGAACTGCACCGTGAGGAGCCTTGTCCCGGTTGCTTGGCTGACCGAAGGGAAGGATTCGGGAGTTTTGGGGTTTAGGGTTTAGGGTTTCCGAAAATAAGGGGTACCTTATCTTGGTGTCCTTATTAGTAAGGAGCCAACTTTAGGGTTTTAGATGAGGGGCCCCTATTTTCGGAAATCCCCATTTGGGGTCCAGGGATTATGGGGGTTGCGCCGGCAGTCGCTATAGGCCCGGATGCAAAAGGGTTTGGGTTTAGGGCTTTTGGAAGTGATTGTTTAGCGTCCGGCCAGACTGCACAGAGGCCTGGATGCAAAAAGGGTTTAGCATTTAGGGTTTGGGGGAGGATTGGAGTCCGAGGGTTACACTACCATAAGAGTCGTTTGAAAGCATTCAGGGGTGAAATGGGTTGGCTGATCTGTGATGGCTTCTTAAATTTCAGGCTACCTGTTCACGGTTCCCCAATATTAAATATGGATCCTATAACTTCGCTTGCTTGGGGCTTTGGACTTATGGTTCGGGGTTAAGGCGCTGTTGCCTTACAAACTGTTACAAGAGGAGTGTTTGCAGTGCAAGCACCAGCAACCCTTGAAGCTGTGACAGCCAGGAGTGAGTAGAGCGGCAAAGTCAAGAAAGCTAAGCCAGAAGCATACCTATGATGTAGCACATTGTTGTGATCTTTGTCGTGGCCTAGCAGGACGGCCCAAAGCACTCAGAGGTTTGTTATTCATCCTGGAAGCTCAAACGGATCTCCCATTCCAGGGCCCGGCGTTCGCGGAATTTGAGGTCGTTGATCATCATATTCGCGGTTTATGATGGTTTATGCTGGCATCTGCTGTCGCACAATCACTTGAATCGAAGTCAAATTGCTGCGAGAGCATCATCCGAGGGACAACGTGCACCACGTTATGGAGGCCTTGAACCTGCTTTTGGCTGCATCGAATAGAATTTTTGGTTTAAATAGTGAAGAATTAAGAACTGTTCCAACCAGATGTTCACTGCTTTCAGAATCTTCTTCCTCTGTTGATGACTCGTCCGTTATATGCGCACGACAACATCAGCCACTTGTCTTGACAAGGCCCTCCAGCGGGACGGCAGGGCTCTGCAGTACGCCTCTGACAACCTCAAGAAGGCAAGGGATTCATCGCTGTAAGCTCGAGAGATGCATCGGAGCTCAGACAGTGTATCATTCGTTCATTCGTGTGTCTGTGCTGTGCATCATGGGACGTGACGATGAAGAAACTCTTAGTTTTCAGGGTAGGGGGGAGTTGGAGCACTGCTTAGGTCTCAGGGCTTAAATCGCACGCTTGAGAAGCATGCGACAGAAAAGCTCTCGCTCTCGTTTCATCCAAGTGTCCATCCCATAGATCGCGTTGATGTTTACACATCACATTGTGACATGTTGTGATGCTGGCTCTTTGCATCTCTTGCCTGGGGCCCACACCGCAGGACAGCTTCGTGGTCATGGAAGCGCTCAAACATGACCCCGAGGCGACGGAACTTCGCAGGGGCCGGGGCGGTGAAGGGGCAGGAGAGTCTAGATTTCAGGTTGTTTCTTTCGTTTGCAGAAGCGGGTGTGAGAGTCCAAACCGACTACCCCTAAACTTGACGCCACACAAGTCTCATTCTCAAGCTGCTCACCTCGTGTCAGCTCAGCAGAATCTCCCGACACCGTGTGCGAGAGTGAGAGGCGAAGCTTGACGCCAAACCCGGCTTTAACCCCACAATCTTCATTCGCGAAAACCCGAACCACTGAAACCATTTCACACTTTTCGGCCGTTCGTGTATTGTGCAGTCGCTGGAGTTCGCTGACGAGGAGCTGAAACACAACCTCGAAGTGATCATGCCGGTGGCGGACTCGCGTTTAGAGTTGTTGCGTTCAGGGTGTAAGGTTTTTGCTTTGACTGGTAACAGGGGAGCATCAGCAGTGGAAGTCAAGTAGTCGTCGTCGTCGTCGCAGTAGCAGTAGCAGCAGCAGCAGCAACAGCAGCAGCAGCAGTAGGAGTAGCACTCGCAGTAGGAGCAGGAGCAGCAGTAGTAGTAGTAGTAGTCGTCGTCGTCGTCGTCGTAGTCGTCGTAGTCGTAGTAGTGGTGGTAGTAGTGGTGGTAGTGGTAGTAGCAGCGGCATTAGCCGGACCGATTTATTCCGATCCATTCATCCACACCCTGAACCATGAAACTGGATATTTCTTGAAAAAATTGATAAGCCAAGCACACACACACAGAGACACACACCCACACACACACACACGCACACACACACACACACACACACACACACACACACACACACACACACACACACACATCTTGTCGTGTCCTCTAGTGAGGGTCAAGCCCTGCAACTTTATTCCCAAGCCCTCCTCAACCCCAAGCCCGGAACGCTAAGGCTCTGCGTCGTGATGGGGCAGTTCTGCGATTCCTCCCATACGAGCTCCGAGACAGTCACCCTGTTGCATGGGTGCAAGGTTTTGGCTCAGGGTTCAAAGGGTGAGGGCTTTGGTGGCGTGGGTTCTGGGTTCAGGCGTCTTGGTAATCCTGTGTAAACACCTGTCAATAGACACCATGGCATTTTGCAGGGGGAAGTTAATCTAGAGAACTACACTCATGGTACCCTTATAGTTCCCTCTTTAGAAACCCTCATAGATAGCGGCTGTGACAGGTCCGCTACAGCGCTCCTAAGGCCCCGATGTCGCAATGGATGCTGTCCAGACCTTCGGCCTGGCGCTGCCTGGAAGCAGAGTTTAGGGTTTAGGGTTTAGGGTTTAGGGTTTAGGGGGGCTAAGCGCTTTAGGGCTTGAGGGCGAGGGATGGATTCTAGGCTTCATAGGGCTTAGCAGGGTTTCCGGAGTTTTGAGTTTAGTTTTTAAGGGTTTTGAGTTCCAGGTTCAAGATAAATTGCGTCTTGGGCATGTGTACCCGTTTTTTTTTGAAATCTTGCCTTTGGGACATCCTGAATTCCGCGACTGTTGTCTAGCTGGAGCCTCTGCTGTTGCTGCTAGCTGAAACCCATGACAAGATTCGAAACTTCGATGTAACTGAAGGCCTGCAGATCTCAAAACTGATCAAAACTGAAATCTGGTTATGTGGGCGATGTTGCTCGAGCGGGCCCCAGAACCACCTTGTGTTGATTTGTCGTTGATTCGATTTCCGGTTGAAGGTTTAAGAAGTGCTTAAGGTCTGCATACTTGTTGTGTGGGCGCATGCTAGCTCAGAGCGTGCTCTGTACTGACGCACCCAGCTTTGTAATCTGACACGGATTGGGAGCTAAACCCGCGCCAAGTATCGCGAGAACAGAAGATCTTGCCACAACATTTCCCGCAGTTTTTGGCACAGTTCCTGCCTCTTTGTCATCCCTTGGCTTAAAAGGGATGCTTGGTCTAAACGATTCAGGGCATCAGGGTTCTGGGTTGCTTAGACCCGAAGGTCAGGATCTAGGTCTTGGGATTTCAAGCAACGACACAGCTCAGGATTTCCTTCGCCACTGAGCAGGCTTCGGCCTACTGGGTGGAAACTGCAAGGTTTGGGGGAATTTGGGTTTTGGGCTGGTTTTATCACTACCCTAAGGCTCCAAAGTAGTTCCTTTTTGGGGGTCATATATAGAATCCTATAAGGTAATCCCAAAGAGGAACTACTATGGAGCCCTTGGGTAGACGCCCATATTGCGGTGGAACCTGAGGAGCGCAAATGGGGTGCTTGCTCGTATTCTCTGCATCTTCACGGACGTTTCAGAAGGTACCATATAAAAATGCATTTATGTCATCTACCGCACGCCCTGGGAAATTTTAAACGATAAATCAGAGCCGTTCCCGGGGTGAGGAACAATCCCGTGCTTAAGTTGATAAGGTGAATTCTGTTGTCAAATATCAAATTAGAAAGCAATCATAACGCAGACTTTTCTGCAACGCGGTCAGAGAAAGAAATCTTATTCACGGAATAGCGGTCCTGGTTTCAAATGATCACAGTGAAATCAATGAGTGGCCACCACCAGCTCATCATCAGTGTCCCCAGCAGGAGACGGGAGAAACACCGGTTATGCAATTGTAGTGGTGATGCCAGCAATCTCCTGAAGATGGTGACGAAGAAGATGATTCGATGAAGGTTGTGGGTGAAAGATGTGTCGAAATCCGGCTGCAGTGATCTACTTACATGGCGGTGGTGGTCAGGGTTAGAAATCCGGGCGATTTTCACGGTGTTGTTTTTCCGGGTTTGTGTTGACAGCGACCTGTGATGATGCCCAAGGTGATACCAACATCAGGCAGTTTCTCCACCGCCATAGCAAATTGGTGTAATTCGCAGCTCTCTACCCCGAACGCCCGCCCCTAGTCTGAGTGCTTTCGAGGTGCGAGCAGATCGCGAGGTCGTCATGGCCGCCGTGCGCAAGGCGCCAGACAGATGTTGAGATACTTGGCAGTCTAGGCCCGCAGTTAGCCTGAATTTCAAAGTCAAGATTTGCGAATTCCATGTGCTTGTTGTCAGTCCGTCGTAGCGGAGAGTTTCAATCCGGGCCCGCTCGAAAGACGTAACAACAAGCATGCGCACACCGCGACCAGAGACATGCAACGAAACGGTACTGCAAAGTTGAGGAGCAAGCTTTGCTCTCTACCTAATCACATCCCCAGACACTATTGAATATTTAGGGTTTACGATTTTTGGGCCGTCGCTGCATGGCTGCATGGTTCAACCCGTCCTCCCACGTCTCTGGAGGATTTTTCAGGCTTCAGGTGGACTCAGGTCCCAATTCCAGATAAATGATTTTGCGTGTATGCATAAATGGCATGTGTGTCTGCACCCGGGAGAGGTGGAGGTTTTCGTGCACATGTGGCTATGTCTGGTTTGTTTGTGTACAGCAGCAAGGAGTACATGTTGCAAGATCTTAGCTCCTAATCGCTATCCCTGCAGACGTACCTAGAGCTTACACCGCACTCCCCAAACCCTACACCTTCGCCCCCAAGCCCGTACCCCTACATAAACCCGAAATCTTGCTAGGACACTGCAGGCTCCCGTTTCAGACAACATCTCCTCGCAAAAGGCGTGTTTTCCCCCACTCTCGATCCTTTCTAACACGTAAGAAGTACATGCTGCAAGATCCCCAAGCATCAGAGATCCCTGGCAACCTCCTCATAAACAGTCTTTTCTTCGGATTGTAGCAGTCTACTGAGCTGCTATGCAAGCTTGCCCAACTGGTAGTCACACCGGATGAAATACAGGCTGGGAAAGGTTGACAGGTATGACACTGCATGCAAACATATCAATAATCATTGTCGGCGGCCTCGCCATAAATCACATCCCACGTCGGATTCTGCCAGGATCACTTGGTCAACGCTTCTTTCGCACCATCATGAGGATCAACGCCAATGTTATCACCACTGCTGAGAAGCACCGTCTGTATATACAAGGTCACCAACCTTGTCTGCAGCAGTGAATATCCACATCTTACATTGGACCATCAAGGAGCAGTACTGCTCAGCTCATACGCTGGGTCATATCACCATACATCAGGGTGGGAGCCCGTAACAAAAATTGTGTTGGAAGAACGGGGTCTTGCTTGTGTGCCAGGATGGGATGGCCCTGGCCTATGCATCGCAAGACCTCCAGGACGACGAGTCCATTGTGGAGGCCAGGGCGATAGAAGTCTCGGTTGGTAGCCGCACCTGTTTGTTCCGATTGAATGCTACAACGCATGATGTTGCAATTTTCTGTGGTGCCCTGTAACGTGCAAAGGGCCAAGAGTTGGTTCATGCACGTTCACTTTTTTTGCAAGCGGTCACTCGAAACTGAATCTAGGGTCGTGAGAAGTGGCCGGAGGATTGATTTTGAAGAGTTTTGGAAGAAACTCGGTGGATGTTTCCAGGCCTGAGGCTAGGCTTGATTTTGAAGGGATCTGCAGCTTATCTCTTAGGATTTCAAGCGTGGATGTTGGGCCTTGGAGCGTTTCTGGGATTCTGGTAGGGTGGGGTTTAGCACCGGTTTGTACTTTAAGATTGAGGACAAGAACCTTAGCATCTGGGAGGCTTTCCAGGACGCTGAGGAAGGGCCTCTGGGATCCCTAAATCCCATGAATCCATGAATCAAACGAAAACCACCCCAAGAGCCCCTGGACCTTGCTGACCCCTTAACCGCCCTAGCCCTGTTTAGGATGCCAACCGAAACACCGAAACGCACTGCTACTGTACTTATGCATGTGCTCCTCTATCGGGACCTGGGGACCACATTACCAGCGCTACATTAGATAAACCCTGAAGCCCTGCGTGCCACAGTTGCAGTGGCGACAGCTGGAGCCCCAAAACTGTAAAGCGTCCCCGTGCCTAAGGCCCCGTGTGCCCAGTTGCGAGAATTAAGGCCCAAAACCTGTAAAGCATCCCCATACCCGGCTGTTTCACAGACATGTCCAGGCCGCTACCGAAGAGAATCCCAGGGCCCTGCAGTTCGCTTCCGACCGTTGGCGGCGAGACAAGGTGTGCTCATACAGTATAGTATAGTATAGGATAGTATGTCATAACATAACTTCAGGATTCGGGGTGACTAGCGGCTAGCGGAAGGCTTGGTGTTGAGGATCATCTCCAAGAGCTGCCTCTAAAATTGCTAGGTTTTGATTCCTGATGCACTTAACCGTATCTGTAGCTATCAACTCCCAAGCCCTGCGCCTCAAGCCTCGTACAGGACTCGTGTTGGAAACTGCCACTTGAGGGCTTCGGGATTGCATAGGCTTTTATATCTTTAGGCCATGGCCTTCGGCCAAAATAATTTTCATCAGAGGCTCTTTCGGGTTCGAAGGCCCGAAGGTTGCAGCCTTCTACCTTTTTTGTTTGGGGGCTGTTGGAGCCTGGGTCTGCAAGCGCCCTGCTAGCTACAGTCCGACCTGAAAGATCGCTGTTGCATGTAAGTCCTTACACAACTAAGCCATGCGACGCACCAGTCGAGCATGGCCATGCACGGGCAAACCTCCACCGTTCACCACTGTTTGCTGCTTGTTTGGAGCCACACGGCCTTTGTTGTGTTTTGTGGAATGCTGGCCTTAAGCAGCAGAATATGATGGTGACTGCGGACCGGTGCTTTCTTCATATTAAACGCAACACATAAACGTACGAACACAAAGGACGTAACTCAAAAGGCTAATTTTATTTGAATTAAACGAAACAAAGAGCGAAAGGAGTGAGAGATGCGTGTTCGTTTAATTTAAAAAAATTAGGTCTTTTGGCTCCTTTGTCTAACCTTCATACAGACCTTAGCTGGCTAGCGTTAAACCAAAACTTTCAAACACCCTGAAACCTTATAAAGCCCTAACCCACAGATTCCTATAAATCCTAGCACGAAGACCCTCTAGGAGCTGCTGATGCGCATCCTTGGGATCGACGGCCTTGCGCTGGAGTTTGTGACTGGAGGTGGGCTGTTTTCTTTTGGGTGGCAGTCTCTTTGGAGGTGTGGGGTTTTGGGGTTTCAGGGTATGTTCAGTGCTTCACGGGTTCAAAAGAAGGGGTTTTGAAGGACTAAAGGTTTGAGGGCTTATAAGTGCTTCCATGCAGGAAGTGCATGACGTGGAATGCCAAACCTTTTATGATTAGTCAGTGTGTTCAGAGCGAAGCAAGCTGACGCCGTTCAATGTAGGCATCCGTCTGTATTTTGCACTCACCAGAGTCAGCCGTGCTTGAATCATTGGCTCAGGCCTGGCCGATGACTTCGAGGTATGCATGGAGGCAGCGTTCAGTGGCTTTGTACTCATGTTTAAGTCGCGTTGCATAAGTTCCATGACCAGGTGCCACGACGTCGTTCCCAAATTGGAAGTCGCACACCCCGAACAGAAGACCACAGATAGGTTTAGCTCAAAGTTCGGCAAGGCTGTCGGCGAGAAGGGCGCTGCACTGATCCACTGCTCGGCTGCGATGAGTGCCCTGCATGTGGTTCTTACTGACAACGCATGACAAAGCTCGTGCGAACGCGATACGGCAGGAATGCTTCCGACTATACTGGTCATCTTTCGTAAGCTTGCCTTATACTTGTTACGGCAATACCGCGACCTTGACGATCACGACCACAATGAACGAACACATCGACCGCGACCAAGACGAGCTACCGCTACAGTACCGCTAATTGTTGCTGTTGCTGCGGCTTATGCAGTTGCTACGACCAATGCCGTACGTGCTACCACTTCTGCTACTGCTCTTGCTCAAGCCACCAGCACGGCTACTGTAGCAGGTGAGAATATCATTGGCAAGCACGTAGCTCAACAGCTGTGCACGCATCACGGCAATGCGATCTTTTGTTGATACGCATGCGAGCATGTTCACAGCATTCTACCACTGCCACCCGAATGATGAAATGCACCAACAATTGTCGTCATCAGCAACATATTGCCAACGTGCGGCCACCGCCGTGCCCAGCACCATCGTATGTTCGTCACCGCATCATCATCATCATCATCATCATCACGCTCAACATGGTCATCATAACTGTTGTTACCATCGGCACCGTTCGTTTCGGCTGTGATTTTTAGCACAAAACGCCCTCACCACCACCAGCAACATCATCATCACCACTAGCATCATGAGCAGTTGTCAACAAGCATCAGATTTTGCCATCGCTCCGACGCACAGAACAACATTCAGCCTAGGGCCTAGCGGTTTCATGCCCATGATATCAAGACCTCCGTGAAGTTCTGCAATGTACCAATATCACCGCCCACACCACTGTTCGGTCATTCGTTCATTAATCCCTCACTATAACTTCATTTCATCTCACCCCATCCGTTCAGGCAGGCAAGCAGGCAGACAGCGAGTCAGTCATCACCATCATCGTCGTTACCATCATCGTCACCGTTGCTGTCGCAATCAACAACACAAGGACCGATGCGACAGCCATGTTATGTAAGAGCATAAGTGAACTACATGCAGCGAGAGAAAATGTGGCATCAACAGCTATCAGCAGGACAGGTATCTTTGTCCCATGGTCGTGTTTTGTCGTTGGCTCTTGGGAGCTATAAGGATTCTCCAGAACGCCAATGCCCCATAATGTACCCCCAGACCTTGTTCCACACGTTTAGACCTCCATTGTGTTACACGGCCGAGGAGACAATGAGGAGATTGTTCGGACTGCACTGGCCAGCGACGGCATGCAACTCTTGAAGCTTGTTTTGATATGATGCGTGTCCGCGGTGTTGGTTGATTTGGCATCCTAAGAAAGAGGTCCGATGTATGTGAGACTCCCGATGAGGATCTATTAAGTTTGTTTCAGGCTTCCGGGGTCTATGTTGAGATGGAAGTCAAGCCAAGTGGGTTGCTTCCTTGCCCACTTTGTGTTCCGTTTTGATAGTTGTGGGTCTCTCTGGCCACACTGCGGATGCCTTGCTACTTCGGTGCTTGTTTTGGGATTTCATACAATATGTGACCCCAATGTAGACCCCAACGAGCAGGATCCCGCATAAATAAGTACAGGACCTCTAATTGTTGGACCGATGCCCGGACTTACCAGTGTAGATTTCGAGCACAAGTTTCTGGTTCCCGAAGCATAGAATCCTGAACCCTTGCCCCCAAACCCTTAACCCAACAGAAGAGGAGGCTGTGGGGCCTGCGTTTTGGCAACCCACTATTTTCAGTGGTTTTGAATTTTTTTCGAGTGGTTTTGTATGTTTCGAGTGATTGCACGTGGGGTTCTCTGAACTGTGTACTAGTTTGGTGCGTGTGTACGTGTATGTTGTTGCTTTGGATGGCTTATAACATCAAGTATGAGTTGTTGTGCAAGTTGTGCAACACGAGGTCTGTTTATAAACACCGGGTTTGTTTATAAACATGTCGTGTCGTCACAATCATGTGCCTCCTCTTCAGAACTGATGTTGTATATGTTTAGAAACAGCTAGCCTGCCAGACATGTAGATATGTATGTGTTTATAAACACCGGTGTAGGGGGAGGGGGGGGGGGGAGGGGGGGGGGGGGGAGTGTTTTGTACATGTTTCAAAGACTTACCACCCCCCCCCCCCCCCCCCCCCCCCCCCCCCTCCCCTCTCCCCCAAAAGCAAAGCCAACGCCGCCCTGCACACTGCTCCCCGTCACTAGCAGCACCATCACCGCGCCACGACTCCAAACCAACCAGTTTACAAACCTCACCGTACTGCAAGTCTTACACATTGACACACTGATACGTTAACTGGATTTTTGCCACGTACCGGTTCGTGTGGAATAGACCAAGACCTTGTTTGATTGAGAAAACTATGAAACCCCCGGTATTTACGGTGTTTCTGCGTATGGGAAACACAATGTTATGTGGTTGGTTGTTGATAAACACCTGGCCTTGTTTATAAACAACAGAGCTGTCCATAAACACAGGGTTCACAATATTGTACACATATGCGTATACCTGTATTCCCGTGTAAACACAAGTGTTGTTGCTACAAGCTGAGAGGTCCAATCTTTGCCACCTTTATAACCTTAGAGGACCAGAAGGATATGAAAGGATTGATTGTTTATCAAACCAAAAGAATTTCTGATACAGGTATTTGTGGACATGAAGGCCATGCAAGATCATGCAAAGGCCTGGACCACGACGGTTCGTACAGCTTTATCATTCCCCAGGCGAGGCTTCAGCGCGAGCGGCCCCATAAAACCAACTGTCCGGCTTCAGAATTCATATTGATCCAGATGCTCGCTATTTTGGATTGTAGACTGTGGGTAACCAAAGCGATAGTACCTACAGCAGCCGGCAGGACATGAACAAGCGCAAACAGGATTTGAGTCATCTTCGACAAGTAGCAGACTGACTTGTTAGCCACAGGCAGCTTTCATTATTCCTTCGTTCCTTGAAAGTCACACACGCTAATACATAAGTTGAACTCACACGAACTTGTTGACATGCCATAACATATTTAAAGCACTGACCTAAACACTTATTTCGAATCCTGTGCACTTTTCCAAATAAGTACGCTAATTCAATACCTACAGGTTCTCCAACAACCGAACACTGCATGCCAAAGCAGATGATGCAATGGTTCTGGTGTTGGGTGGATTGGCTTGATAGAATGAAGAGTCTTGCAGGGATGAGATAAAGGCTCCGCGTCGCACGTGTCGAGTCTATGTGGCCTGCCCCAAGACTTGGTTTGATAAAGTGCAGAATACACGGTATTTAGCCTGTGATAGTTGTTGTGGGAAGAACTTTGAATACGTAGCCACTTAATGCCTACATGTCGTACCCGTTGACGTCTGATTATACACAGGCTAAGCCTGACCCTGAATACATTACTCAGGAAAAGAAGTGTACGGGACTTTGTGGTGTAATGCTGCGTGTACCTTTCAAGTGCTTGAAGTTGTTTGAATGTAAATATGATACAAAAAATGGTCTGCAAAAACCCAGGCCCCACAGCAACCTGCTCTCTAACCCAAAGCCTAGAAGCGTAAAGCCAAAACTCGAAAGCTTGCTAAACCCTGAACCCTAAACCCAAAGCCCAAAACCTGAAGCTGTCAGAGCCCTAAGCTTTCAAAACCTACAAACCCTAACCCTGAAACCCCTAAGGCTTTTTAAGAATCCTAACCGTGAACCCCCGAAGGCTTCCATAAAAAGCCTAACCCTTAAACCCCCTAACTAACCATAAAAAGCCCTAACCCTTAGGCCCCCAAGGCGCCACAAGAACCCTAAACCTTAAACCCCCTGAGGCCCCATAAGAACCCTTAACCCTTAGACCACCTAAAGCCCCCATAAGAACTATAGACCCCAAAACCCTAAATCCTAAACCCGGAATCGGGACCACGGAGTTGGACGATGGCGGACAGGGTTTGGAGGGAGCTTACGGAGAAACTCTTGAGAGGGCAGCATTGTCACTGGTTGCTGTGCAGGGTGACGTCTGAGGGGTGTGTTTTGTCAGGGCCTGCAAGTGCCCTGTATCTCCTGGCCATGCTTGGCCTTGGAGTCAGCCGACTATCTGGCAGACATCAAAAAGGAGCCTAAAAAAAAAAACTAAACCCTTAACCCTATAACCGCCTAAAACCCCATAAGAACGCTAACCCTTAAACCCCCTATAGACCCCAATCAAAGCCCTAAGGAACATCTCCAGTCGTCTCCGGGAGGCGGTGACAAGATCCAGTGGGGATGCTTTCTCTAGGGTTTAGGGTAGGGTTTAGGGGATACTATAAGGGTTGAGGGTTTAGGGTTTAGGGCTATAAAGGTTTAAGGTACTTGGGGATTACGGTTTAGGGTTTAGGACTGAAAAAGGCTGTATAAGGGTTTGGGGTTTAGGCGGTACTGTAGGGATTACGGTATCGGGTTTACTTTAGGGTGTAGGGGATACTATAGGGATGACGGTTTAGAGTTTAGGGGGGACTGTAGGGATAATAGTTTAGGGTTTGCAGTGTTTCTCTCACTCCTGCGTTTGCATCCCTCGTCAAACGAGAAAGCCCTGCTGTTGAGGAGTGTTCGGTGAAAACGGGATGTCTGCATGGATTGGGACTTAGGGGACTAGGGACATCAGGGGTTGCTACATGAATTGCGGTTTAGGGTTTAGGTGATGCAAGGCTGTATGAGTTATAAAGGGTTAAATTAAAAATTTTACAAGGGTTGCTACAAAGGTTACTTCAGGAGTTCTATAAGGGTTACGGTAAGAATTCTCTCAAAGATTTACGTACTATTACATCACTTACAGGTTACTATGAGTCTCTCAGGGTGCATGTTCTGAAGGCTTACACACTTAGAGATAGGATACTGGGTTCACGGTTTGGTGTTTGTGCATGCCGCAAAGCACGAGCTAGGTTTAAGGCATCTCGGATCCTACCCGTATGTCGATGACCCGGCACTCTTATGTTGATGAGGGCCCAAATACCGAACTATCATAACCTTTCTCGTTGATTCCAAACTGCAGCTAGCAAGTACCTAGTGATTGGGTACTTGCACGTGCCTTCTGGGTACAACTGAGATAGAACTGGAGACAGAATAGAGGTTATCATCCCGAGAGTTCCAATACTGCACTGAGTGATAAAGATGTACATGTTTGCAAGTTGTGCCTCTGCGCGCGTACCCTGTACAGATATGTAAAGATAGGCAGACAGACCGACAGACAGATGGACAGAAACATTATACATATACATCTGCACGATACTTGGTTTGAGTTTTCGGCGAGCTCTACATTGCAATGGTTTTCTCCCTGCATCATTGACATACTAGCCGGGTTCTACTTACATGTCAGTATGTTCAATGTCTTGTTATAGCGAGTAGTCACACTAGTAATCTGTAGTATCTATGTATAATATAAATGGGCAAGTAGCTGTGTACGCCCGAGCATGCATTTGGTCAGGATCGCGACTTGGTTAAGCTTGCGGTGAGCTCCTTGGATGCAGCTGCGGCTTTCAGCAGAATGAAGGGTTTTCAGCCTATCTCCTTAAGCCCTTGACGCCCTCATGTCCTGGTCAAGCACAAGACATACTGCATCCTCACCGCCGCATAGGCGTGAGTTATAAGCGCGTGCTTCCAGAATTGTTTGCCGCCATCTTATTTCTGAGGATCCTGAAAAACACGCTGCGCGCCAATTAAGAGCGAAGCCTGGCCGTTATCAGTTCATGAGTTTTGCGCCGGAAGGACGGCTTTCAACACGAACGCGAAATGACAACAGTGGATGTTTTCCCCACAACACCGAGTTCGGGTGGGGGTTCAGGCAGGAGGCCTTGATGTTGCCTGGTTCGGTGCTTCCAGATCTTAATTCCTGGGTGGCGTGAAGAAGTGAGGCAGCAGCAGGCCGTTAATACCTCTTGACTTCCAGCAGCCATGTGGAGTCCGCATGATGCTAGGCAGATAGTCTTCAGGGGTTGAGGTTGAGGGGCGGAGCCAGGCAGATGTGCCTTCGATCTTTGTGAGCAAAGCGCTACCCATTGCATCTGTCGTTAGCCTGCGTTTTGCAATGTGGAGCTCTCAAATCATGACTCTGGAAGTGTTTCGATACGCCCGCAAAAGTCGCAAAAGGCAGAGCGCGGAGTTCCCATCCAAGTCTTTTGCCATCCCATTTGTTTAGCAGGTGCTGCACTTTTCAGGCCATAGAGCAGCCTCTGAACAGCCGCCTTTTCATGGCCGGGCTTCTTGGGAGCTTTGGGCGTTGGTGGGCGGCGCCGCGCTTCGCAAGGAGATGCGTCACCGCGGTCACAGGCAGGATGAGGCTGCAGGAGATGGCTGCCATGCTCCACAAGGTGGAGAGACGGACAGAGACATAGAGAGAGAGAGAGAGAGGGAGAGTCGTCTTCAGAAGGTACGACAGCTTATGTGCCTTGGTTTGCACAGTCTCTCAGTCCCTCTGCGCACATGTACTTTACATGTATGTCTGCATGTATGTCTGTGTGTGTATATGTTTATACAGGGAGAGAGAAGGACAGGGAAAGAGTCGTCCATATGTTTATACAGGGAGAGAGAAGGACAGGGAAAGAGTCGTCCACTGACCCTATCAGGTTCATAGGCATCATAAACTCTCGAGTCCCCAGGTGCCACCCGGGTCCGTGCCCTTCAAAGCTTTATCTGCGGGTTGCGATCACACGTGTGTGGTGAAAGAGGATGGACACCTATTGTGTTTTGGTTCCCTTTATTCTGGTCAGTGCGATGTACCTACAGGAATGGGGCCTGTGGTGACGGTTTCAGCAGGTTGCAATCACTCCAGCGCCGTGTGCGCGAATGGGCACTTGACCTGCTTCGGTTCCAACATGGCAGCACAACTCGAGATCCCTGCGAACCTGGGTCCTGTGGTTGCCGTCTCGTCGGGCTGCCTGCACACATGCGTGGTGAAGCCAAACGGAAAGCTGGTGTGCTTCGGGGATAACAGCGCGGACCAGTGCAGTGTTCCAGACGGAATAGGCCGGATGATGACGGTCTCGGCTGGCTGCGATCACACATGTGCGGTGGCGGCCAGTGGGCAGCTGGTCTGCTTTGGTTCCAACCTTTGTGGCCAATGCGATGCACCGGAGGGCTTGGGACCTGTGAATTGTGTTTCTGCGGGCTGCAAGCACACTTGTGCTTTGCAGGCTGATGGGCAGTTAGTATGTTTTGGATCCAATTTGGATGGTCAATGCGATGTTCCGGAATCCTTGGGTCGAGTGACTGCTGTTTCAGCTGGCTTTGATCATACCTGTGCATTGACTTCTGACGGCCGCTTAGTTTGTTTTGGAGACAACAGCGCAGGCCAGTGCGAGGTACCCACAGGCTTGGGGTTTGCAGTGGCCGTTTCTGCCGGCCGTGCGCACACCTGCGCTCTCACGGCAGATGGGCAGCTGCTATGTTTCGGGGAGAATGACGTGGGACAATGTACTGTCCCAGTCGAAGTAGCACAAAGCGGCTACTCTTCTGCACGCTGCTGAGCTTGACGTGGCTGTGCCCCCGCACTGCTGTTGCGTCTCTTCCGGGGTATGCCATGTGTCAGCACAAAGCCGAGGGGTGAAGTGCGGCTGCTTGCATATTCAACATGTTT